AGACAGCTTTTGAGTATTTCCAAGGAGCCACAACCTCTCTGGGAAACCTATGCCAGTTCTCAGTCACCCTCACAGAGTAAAGAGGTGTTTCCTGATGGAGCCTCCTGTGTTTCAGTTTGTGCCCATTGCCTCTGGTCCTGTCTCTGGGCACCACTGAAAAGAGCCTGGTTCTGTCCTCTTTGCACCATCCCTTCAGGTATTTGTACACATTTATGAGATCCCCCCTGAGCCTTCCAGGCTGTTTCTCAGCCTTTTCTCATAAGATATATGCTTAATCATCACTGTGGCACTGTCTCCAGTATGTCCATGTCTCTCTTGTGCTGGGGAGCCCAGAACTGGACGCAGTACTCTGGGTGTTATCCTGTAGGACTTTTGGACCTACTCCAAGAATTGGCTCATTTTGGCCTTCCTTTCAGCCAAGTGATTTGTTTGAGCCAGCTTTCAGTTTTGGGAAGGACTGTATTTCTTTATTCTGTAGTTTTTCATTGGACCAAATTCAGATTGCCTTAGTATTCCTTCATCAGGAAGTTGTCTTGTACATACCCAGCCAGCCATATTTCCAAGTTGTCTTTTGATCACAACTTTGAAATCGAAGCTTGTCTAGCAAGAAATGGCTCTATATATTAATGGTAGTGATGTGTTGCAGTAAAATCTGAATGGGACTTAGAAAAGATTTGATGCATTGTTTAAAGCAGTTGTCTTGAATTATTACATTCTAGGGTTTATATTGGTGCATGGAGGATGCAGGGTGTGGACAGCAATATTAAAATTTTTATTTTCTCACCATGTACCTTCTTTATCTCCACTTTACTACTTCATTGTACCACACTGTGCTCATTATCAACAGCCATAAAACTTAGTAGTTCTTACCAGAGAACTACTGTTGTGTGTCTGTTCCAGATGTTCTCTAATTCATGAGAACGGGTAAAATGGTGATGTGAATGGTGGGTGGACTGAAGCAGAGGTCTAAAGTCTTGCTTAACACTGCAGAAGCTGAGCAAGCAGTGTTTTGTTCTCTAGCTGAACTGGCGCACAGTAAGATGAAAAAGATCACCACATTAAATGTAAGCAAGCCAGCAAAATTCTTTGGGCAAACCCAGTTACAGTAGCAAAAGATTCTTATTGCTGACGTTTATTCTGTCAGCTGTAGTTCTTCTAAAGAGCTTTTGCCAGTAAAAGCTGTCTATCTTTGCAGTATGGTTCTGGTGACAAATCTTTACACATAGACAAGTCTTTTGATGCAGACCTGTGTCCAACTGGATAATCCTTGTTTCTTTTGTCTTGGAAAAAGTACAATAGTTAGGCTTGGAAATAGTCCATTGTTCCATTAAATCTGTAACTCTTTTTTGCCACGTGTGGCACAGGGCTCTTAATTTATTACATGTATTTCCTTCTTTTTAGTGGCTACTTTCTAGATTTATTTGGGGCTAGAATTTTAAGGAAATGTCAAGCATTATGCATAAACCCCAAGAGCTCTTCATCTGATAGCTTACAAGTTAATATGATCAAACTTTTTTTCCTTCTGTTTCTTTTTTCCCCACTGTTAGCAAAATGTATGTGTGGATCCCTCAGGGGCGAGGCACAGCACTTGGCAAGTGAAAGCCTTGGCTTTAATGAAAACCTAGCGTTGCCGCAGTGGGAGCCCCGGGACACCCATGATAAACAAGCGAGAAACTGACACAGTGGAGCCCTGCTTGGGAGTGAAGCTCAAGGGAAAGCACCACAGGGGTGGATAATAAAACTTATGTTGATTAATATATCATACATATGCAATGTCCTGTTTTGCTCATTAGCAAACTCAGTGATGTAATGCAAATACTGTTCTGAATTCTGAGATCTGCAGCTGGCCACCTTTGTTGGTGCCTTTTCAAAGCAGCTGCAGATGGTGGGGGAAGCAAACTATCCTGGATTGCTGTAACATCAAAATAAGATGTGTAAACTGTGGCCAGTTTTTACAATTGCCTTGCTGAGCCCTGTCCTATTTTATTAGATCTTCTATTAACTACCTTGATGCATAATATTATTCTGTATGTGCAGTGCCAGCCAGTGGGAGTCTGGATGTCAGAAAGTGGAGGGGCTGTATCTCTCTGGATTATCTTGTTCGTTTCCTACAAACTGTACCTGTAGTGCCAGCTACTGGGGAGTGATAGGTGTGAGTGGACTGGGTGCCATCTACTGGAGTCACACCAGGGATGTGGGCACCCCTGGTGCATGTCAGTTATTGGAGCAAGTGGGACCTAAGTACTAGCTACTGGGTTGAGTGAGGGTCTCTGCTGCCAGCCCATGGAGTAGGAAGGGTGTCTGTCCCCAAAGCCAGTTGGGGACAAATCTGATTTGCTATCAGATTAAACCAAACTTTTTCAGACACTTAAGGTGGATAAGGTAGGTAGGTAAGAGCAGTCTTCTAATAAGTACCCCAATCACACACACACAAGCCAGCAGATAAAACGCTATTTCCTTGGTCATAGTAATAGGTATTAGTTATTTATCACCAATGTAAAAATTGAAAAGAAGAAAATATATTGATACAGTGCTCTGCTTCTCCTGTGGGCTTCAATTCAGAATGCAGGAAGACTGTAGATTTCTAAAGCAAAGCTCTGTTTGCTTTGAAAATTACTGTAATTGTTTAATACTGCCAAGGTGTAATACTAGTGTGCTGGCATTAATTTTTTTTCAAAGATCTTTTTTCATGAGGTGATGCATGTCTATCTCAGACTGTTTTTATACAGCTATTCCTTTGCATCTTCTAAATAACTGGTTTTATCAAGAAGCTTGCTTCCTCAAAAAATTTCCACCTTTATCATTCACAACTTTTTAATGTAGAAGTATCTGTGATCATCATACACTTACTTTTCTCAGGGCTAATATAGGTAATTGATAAAAAGAATCCATTACATCACTCTATACGTACCTACGTAGCTTATGCCACGTTTCAAGACTTGTAGTGAAATCTGAAAGTTTGAGGTAATCGGTTACTGTGGTGGTTGTGGCTGTCAAAATATCTGAGTAGGTAATAATTGTTACACTTTATTGCAATGGCTACAGCATATTGCTGAACTAACAGTCCACAAAAAGTCCTGTGTGAACTGCTTCTGGGTGATATTTTAGGTAAGATTTCGAGTAGAACAGGGTATTACATGTTTACTGGAATGCAGATACAGGGTATTCATTGCATTTATTTTATCTGTTCATTTTATCATTGCTTTTTAGAAAGAGGTAAATAATCAGTGTGTTTCGGTTTTTGGTAGCTTAAAAGATTGTTGGAAATCTAGGCAAATATAGAAAATCCTCTTAGTCTGTGAGCTAAGTTTTATGCAGAGGACTTTAACAAGAGAATTAATGTAGAATAACTCTGTGGAAATACACAGTTGTTATTCTTGCAGCAGAAATGAAACATGTTTGGAAACAAGGCTCCAGTGTTCTTTGCAGCTTGATTTGTGCTCCCACTTTTTTGATACACAGACTACAGTAAAGATCAGAGCTCTGTCTCTCATACCCGTCCTGCATTAGTTTATAATTGTGTGTACACTTCTGTCACTGGTCAGTAAGCATATGTATTACATATGTAATATCTAGCATAATAGCATATAATAGTATATCTGTTACAGTATGTAATGGTTGAGTTTCGTGTACCTTTTCCTCAGTGGGAATAACCACTTTTCTCCTCTCCTTTTACCAGACATTAACGTTTTTGTCATAAAAGGTATCAGAATAGATGGGTTTTTTTAGACCTTGGCCAGTTTCTGTCGGAGCTAGTTGACAGGCTCATAAAGTTTTGTGGGGGACAGACTGGTGAAGAGATGATATCTTTCATATTTTTTCATCGTTGAAGGTAATGACAGGTAAGGTGGTTAGACATTGGAACAAAAACCCCCAACACATTACCCAGGACATGCTGTGGTGCACCTGATGGCAAAGAATCTGACAACACAGCACAGTGCACTTCCAGGAGCAACAGGCTAGTTAAATGCAGCTCTGCACTGAACTGGCTTGTAAGCTCTACCTTGTAGTGCCATACCTAAGTTAAACTTCTGCCTCTGCTGCTCTCTGGGGATGAGATGGAAGAAGACAATAATGCTTAGAAGATGATCTGGGCCTTGATAATTCTATCCAGTCACATAAGTCACTTTCTTTGTCATTGTTCTAGGGTCATGGGGCACAGCTCTTGCTGTGCTTACTGGACCTGAACTGTACTTGAAATGAGCTTAGTCCTGGACTATGAATAAGCCACAACTGACTGTTCAGCCCAAGAATTTACTATTACTGTAGATATGAGCAGAGTATTAGAAATGTTGGAATGTAAATCAGATCACTGTTGTGGGAATGTATAGCTCCTTTGCAGGTAGGATGTGCAAAAAGCTCAGTTTGCTAGCCCATTAGATGTCTATAGTTAAATTTGAAAGTACTTATAAGCTTTCACATTTACCGGTTCATATCACGGTAAAAATCATTGCCTTTACAGTATGCATTCATGAAGAAAAAACATGCAGCTGCACATTTCCAGTCAGCCTGGTAGGGTTATAATAGCGTATACACATCAGGTTGTGTTTAGTGTGTAAAACCTTCTAATAAAAACACTATGCTTGAAAATACCCTTTAAGTGTTAGTTTGCTTTTAAAATACAGGTCTTCGTGGGCTGTGCTTATACATCTTTTTATGCTTCTGTAGCCTGTCGATGCTAGGGCAGGAGGGAAGTTTTCTTCATGTTGTTCTCTTTTCTGATATAGTTTTGATTTTACATGGACGTTACAATTTTTATCTTTTAATGCTGCTAAAATTTTGTAGTCTTAATTCTTTTAGAGGTCAGGGACCCATCGCAAATTGTGTTATAAAGATAATAAATAAGCAACTACTTGTGAGTGTTTAATTTCATGGTGGTTTAGTGAAGTCTTTAATAAGTGACTCCTAATGCTAGCCACAAAGCAGTACTGAAGCATAGATTATAATTCACTCATCTGGAGATGGATTTTGGTTTTGTTTTGTTTTTTGCACTGGCATAGAGTGAAGACAGTCCTAGTCCCAAGCGACAACGCCTTTCCCATTCAGTCTTTGACTACACAGCAGCGTCACCAGCCCCATCACCACCAATGCGACCATGGGAGATGACATCAAATAGGCAGCCTTCTTTGGCTCGGACCAACCAACACCACTTCTCAGGGGAACGATGCAACACACCCGCACGAAACAGGAGGAGGTAAGCAAGCTGTATAGATTGGGAAAAAATTTCTTATTCTTCATTATTTCAGCTCAAGGGAGATGTATTTCAGCCAGCACTGGCTAGATTATACATAGTAAACGTGTTAATGTTTCCTTTGAGCTGTAAGTTACTACAGTTGTAACTGAAAAGTTACTGGAAGTAATTCAGGTTGGTGCATCATCCCATAATTTGTGTGAATAGTCAACTTGAGGAAAGGCATGCTCAGTAACACTTCGAATTATGGGGCTGATGCTTTTTCACTCTGCACTGGAGCAATAAGCATTTAGAAAAATGCAAGGAAAAATCTTTCTCATCAGGGTAGTTTAAAAGATACTAAGAGTTATTGATTTAGTACTGTAATTTTCACTGCAGTCACGATTAATTTTCATACATAAAAACAATCTAAATAAAGATGAGGGATACGAGCTGGGGATAGTGAGGAAGTTTAGATAATGTCAAATGGTTGCTGAGGTGAGTGATTCACATGTACTAGGAGTTAGATTTTCATGTTGGTTTTAGCTTGTGGCTTATTAACCTCTCAAAGCAGAGATCTTGGAAGAAGTTCTAATGGTCATGGAAGAGTAGAGATTTGAGTGGCCAGGTTGAACTGGTGCCTGGATGGATAATAGTATAGGAAAGCATAAAACCACAGGTTTCTTTACTATTTTAACTAAACTAATTATCCAAAACACAGGCTTTTGTTGCTTCATATTCTCCCTCAAAAATGCTGAGTCATCTAATGCAAGTTAAAACACACTGTCCCTCTATTTGCTTCTGCGAAATATTGTGTCTTCATTTGTACTGAAATTGAAATGGCTGTGTTTTTTCATGAATATAAAATATTAGACTTAAGAAATGTATAATTGGTTTTTTTCTAATCCCACAAATCTAATTTTTCAGCCATGATCAATCAGGTAGTTTTGAGGCAAAAGATTTTAAAACACGGTAGTTTTCAGTGTTCACTTCAAGTTCGTCAATCTGAAAGCTTTCAGTTGGTGGCATTCAAAATACACAGCTCTCAAACCAGCTTGAATTGTGAGCTTGCAGGATTATTGAGAAGACAGAAGATTAGGCCTTTTGTACAGTTTGGTACAGGGATGCTGTGCAGAGGCATTTGGTCCAAAACTGGTTTTTACCTTAAAATGGTTTGAACTGAGATGCCTAGAATGTCTTGCATTTGTCCATTTTTGTTTGGTGTCCAGCCAGCCTACACATATTTCTTTGTGATGCTCATTAACATCTCCTCCAGAGTAAGTAGAGTGCTTAACAAACTACTGTGGGATGATGGAGAAGAATGGTATGTGTAGGACATGAATGTGCATGGGACAAGTGTCTGACATTCAAAGGCAGTCAGATGCTACCAAGGTTTGCTACCTGTGGCTTGCAAGTAAGCTGTGCTGAAAATGAAGAGACACCTTGTTCCAGAGCCTTCTTCAGTTTGACAAGAGTTGTTAGGTTGCTTGCAGCACTGTGGACATAAAGCATTACTCTTTCTAGGGCCAGCTCACTTACGCTTGGGGAATAACACCTGCTTTTGCTCTAATCAGAGACATTTAAATATGTCAGTACTTTCTTTCCATATACTTGAGTCAGGGCATTTTTTAGCTTGGGTGCACAAATGCATTTGAGCTAGCTCTAGGTCAGTTCTAGAATAGTACTACACCCAATCTCCTCTCCTAGAACAGTATCGTTAGGGAGAACAACACATACATGTCTTTTATTTTACAGGAGTCTTTTTGAGTCTTAGAATGCTCTGGAGCTGTATCTGAACTAATAACTACTCTCATGGATCAAAGCTTGATTCCTTAAGGTGATTGTGAGTGCATCTGTTATTAATATTTTAGATGAGGTTATGCATGAGCTTTTGAAGCCAATTTCCTGTTTTCCCTGCATTGTTTTATTTCTTCCCATCACAGAGTGGTCTCAGAGTTAATGAGGTTTTCAGATGAAGACAAGATGACAGGTGCACTCCAGTTGTAAATGGTCATTCAGCTCAAGTGAACAGACTAGGGCAAGTGCAAACAAAATGTCTGAAGTGTGGGTAGTGCAAATATCACTGACCCAACATCACCATTGTTAACTCTTTTGTCTGACCAGTTCACCCCTGTTGGTGAGCACAGGGTGTGCTGTTTTTTTATTATCTGGGTTTTTCCCATTGTCTAAGTTACTATTAGACCTTATCTCTTTGTATCTGGGGTTTTGTACTGTGCCTTGGACAACGGTGCCCTAATTAATTGTATTTTTTTCAGATTCATTGGAAGCAAATAAATACTGAGTTTAGAAAGGTAGCCTTCTGGTATGAATTTGCAGAAAAAATGGGGTTTTGTCCAACTACATATTTACAGATAAGTTGTGAAAGTAAAAGCATAATGCATGCCTATATGAAACAAAAGGCCATTCTAATTTGTCTCTACCAGTCATTGTGAAATGGGGAGATCTGTACCATTGCTGTGCCTCACCTTTCACCTGTGTTTCTCTTGAACATAATTCTGAACTGACAGGATTTAAGAATGTGTTACTGCAGAGAAATCACCCTTGTTAGAAGATACTTAGATCTGCAAATACTAACTCTGCAGTTACGGATGCCTCTTGATGGCCGTTTCTACCTTAGGGTAGGAATTCCTGCCATTTTTTACCACTTTGTTGTCTCTCTGTTTTAATTGGGTATTTACCATGTTAATTATATTACCGTGTAATTTTGCTGAAGGAGAAGTACAGTTTTGTTATAGCTCTGCATAGGAAAAAAAAACAGTTTTGCTTTTTACAGAGGGTGATACTCCATTCAGTTAAAACAACATGCTAGAAGTTTTGCCAGCTTTTGCTGGCTGTGCTTTCTCATAATTCTTGGTTCATAGAAAAGTAAAGCCAGACGTTGTAACAAAGACAGGGGTAAGAGTAGTTTTATGAGAAGCTGCCTTGTCTAAGTGCTGGTGGCAGGCAGAGAATTTCTGTTCTTCTTCTTCTTCCAAAGCTGTCCTTTTGGAACTTTCCTTTGTTCCTGCAGCTTTTCCAAACAAAATTCCTAGCATAGACATTTTATATTAAAGTACTCAGAGCATTTCTGTTCATAGTAGGAAATAGCAGTTTTAAAGCAATCCTAGTACTCAAAAAAAAATAGAACATCTTTTACATTAATAGCCCTGTGTATAGAAATCATATATACCAGTTTTATCTAATGAGAATGTAATAGATGTATCATACTAGTAATACAGAGATGCAGAGTGTAACAAAAAATCTGGGAAAGGAGACTGGAATTAAGACATCCATCAGTAAGACTGTAAATTTAGATTCTCAGTACTTAGAAGAAAACACAGATTGTATGTTTTGACATGGTAATTTGTAAAGATAAAGAAGGCTGTGCTTTTTTGTTTGTTTGGTTGGTTGGGTTCTTTTGTTTGTTTTAAGAATGCTATGTTACAATCTGGTATTATGCATTCTGTCTGACCTGTTGTGAATTAGCATTTGTTTCAGTTCTAAGGCAAGGCAATGGCATAATACCCCTGAGAAGTAGGGCAGAAAAACAGTGGCTTGAGATTTTGTATCATATACTTACAATAGCATCTGAATAGCTGGTAGTATGCTCCTGCTTCCCCAGAGTATGTCTGTTTCACACAACAGAAGAGTTAGACTCAATTTGAGGAATGTCTAGATTTGCCAATAAGTTTCAGATTTATTTGGTATTTGTTCGGTAATAGTAATGGGAATAGAGTAAAGAATCTTAAGTAAGTTCTCTTCCACACACTGTTGGAGAGAACGTGGTCTAGTGGGCGGGCACAGACCCTTCTTGTCTTTTTTCTGCAGTTTGGTTCCTTCAGCCTTTTCCGTAATTGGGAAACCCATTTTGTCCCATGTAATTTGAATTGTCTCTGGGACCTGTAATTTATGTATTATGGAGATTGAAAGGCATGTATTGAAAGTGCTGAAGGATGGTTTTGTGTTTTCAGTTCTTTCTCCTTCCAAATAAGTGAGAAGTGACTTGATCAAAACTTCTAATAGTGAGCTTGTTACTTGTGGACACATTGTTTTCTGAGCGTTGAGCCTGAACCACTGGTCTGATTTACAGAAGTCTCAGCTCCATTTAGTAGCATCTCTGCTCAGAATATACAATTATATAAGCGTACAAAATCAAATCCTATGCCTGTAGGTCAGTTGCTAAAGAAAAGTGCATGCTCTGGTCTAAATCAATCTAGACAACAGTTCTCGACTCTGAAAAAGAAAGCTTGCCACAATCACAATTTCCTGGGATCTTCTGGAGAGAATTCTATGAGGCACTCAGTAATGTAGTGAATATGTTTGAGATGAAAAATTCACTTGTTTCTTAAGAGGAGTCTACTGCTTTGTCTGCTCCAAGTGAGCAACATTCAGTGACCTAGTTGGAGCAAGGACCCTGGAGAAACCTGTGATCAGGGAATGAAGGATTTTTACCTGGAATAAATGCATGGAAATCTCCTGAAGTTTGCTATCTTGACTTTTGAGAACTTGTCTTGGCAATCGAAGTGCCATTTTTTAAAATAAGTTAATATTTACGTAAGAGTTCTTTTCCCAGTTTCCTTTACAGCATTGAGCTATGTTCTGCTAACCATTTCTGTGCTGGAAAATGTGTTCTCTCTAAAGCTTTTAGCAGTTTTGTCAATAAGAAGTTATAGTCCATTCTAATAAAGCTATTCTAGTAAAATTTTTCAGTGTAAAAATTTTCTTGATGCTTGATTCTCATGTGGTTTTAGTTACTAAGAAGGATTTGTGTCAGTTATATAATCTTTAATTTTTTTCAATACATTTCCAGTCCTCCTGTTCGACGTCAGAGAGCAAGGAGAGATCGTTTGTCTAGACATAATTCCATTAGCCAGGATGAAAACTATCATCATCTCTCCTATGGACAGCAGCAAGCAATAGAAGAGCCCCGAGCCTTTCACCCACCAAATGTATCTCCTCGTATGTTGCACCCAGCTGCTCACCCACCACAGCAGAATGCAGTGATGGTTGATATTCATGATCAGGTAAGAGTTTTAGAGTACAAACAGAAGAGTGTTGAGAATGTAGGGGTTTTGTTGTTGGTGGGTTTTTTTCCCCCAAATCTTCAAGGTTGTCCGCAAATTAGTTGGCAATGAAAATCATGTAACACCAAACTCTATTTGCCCTCTTACAGAGCATTTGAATATGTTGAATATTATTGGTGTATGGAGCACTGCAGTAGGCAGTGAAAAAAAACAAAGTTCAGACTTTTAATAAAGAAGATTTTTATTTAATAATACGTCAGTGCATGTATTGGCATAGTTTTGTAGGCCTCTGGCTCATACCTTTGAAATGCTTCTGAAGTTAATTTAATGGGATACAGACATGATATGATCATTAAGACTGTATTCTGTTAGACATAAAATACCTCTCCTTGGCTTAGAAATCTTTAAAAAGGTAAAATAAACTATTTAGAAGTAGAATTCAATGCCTATAATTGGTTCTCTACATGGCAGCAGAACTCATTACAGTATTGTCACATAACCAAATTAGCCATCCAACTCCTCCTTAAATGACATGAAAAAATGAGATTTGTGGTTGGTCCAGAAAGTACGTAACTCCTCTCTGCGACAGCAATTGGTATAGAATTCATTAATTGAGGACCTGCTGAAGTTGTCCTATTCAGGTAACCTTTGTTATTGATGTTTGTTAAATCAGCAGCCTGCAGCACAAGTACATTAGTTGCTACATAGTCATGAGCTGGGAAATAGAACCAGTTATCCACATGTCCACTTCTAAAACTGCATATGCATAGAATGCAACTCTAACATCCCTGCTTAAAAACTTGTTTGCATTCAGTGCAGCTGCGTACCACTGGTGTGTTGTATTACTAGCGCAGAGCAGTTCTTACCTGGGACCAAGAGCAAGGCCATTCTAGCCATCTCACAGCCTTGCGTTTTGATGAACAATTTTACTGCTGCAGCAACTCAGAAATTCAAATTATGCTCTTGCTTTATGTTGCAAGATTACATCTTTACAAGCCTGGATAAGTAGTTGTTCCCATCCCACTGTCTCTCTTAATTTCCAAGCACCGTCTGCGAGCATATATCAGTGTTTCCATACACACTGAGGTCTTCCATGGTGATGTTTTATACTTCAGGGTCCTAACCATTTTTAGAGGTCATTTTTTATTACTCTGAGCAGTAAGTACTTCAGAATCGTACCCAGCATTGCACTGTATGCCCAGCTTTTATACCTGAGCCAGAACTGTGTCAAATTCAGTGTCTTTCCTGAGACTGGTTTTTGTCATTAGTGACATATAGGTTGGGATTTTAAGTTCTGTTCAGTGCTCTGTGTTCTGTTTTGACTTCTGTGTCTGTCTACCAGTTCGGTAGATTAGCTGTTACTCATTCTCACCTTCCTAATGAGCTGTTCTTACTTGTGCCATTTTAAGCAAATAGGTTGCTTAAGAAGCGGGAGGGACAAGAGGGACACAGGAACAGTTTCATTAGAGCATCAGAGATTTCTTATTTAGTGTTTTTAAAAAACAAAAAAAAAAAAAGCCGCCACCAAGTGGTTTGTAGGTCCAGAATACCTTTGGGTCTTAGTTTGATGATTAATTCTAGAGTATATTGATGATTATTCCTAGACCATATTGCTAGGTAGAAAATTGGGTCTGTTAAGTGGGCCTGTTTCCTAATATAAATGTGGATACTTAGGGGCTGCTACCTCATAGTTAGGTTTACTTTTCCTTTTCAGCTTTCAGGTTAGATGTTCTGTTACATTTAGATTATGAGATTTAGGTTGAGTGTTGGTCTGAGAGTGAGTCAAGGGAGCATGGTCTCTTTGGAAGAAAGAAAATTGACACAATTTTCTTGTTCTTTAAAGATAAAAGTATCTGAATCATTATTGAATCAGTTCTTTCAGAGTTGAGAAGATTCTTAAGCTGCTTGTAGATTAGCTTTTATGTAGGAGTTACTGCCTTCTTATTTTGTAAGGACTAAACTTAGTATGTGGAGAGGCAAGCTTAATAGAGTCTGAGGTGATTCTGAGTGACTGTAAGGTGCCTTTGAAGTTTTAACATTTTAAACTGAGAGATCCCTCTTGGCATTTTCGAGAAACTGATCAATGAGTAACATTCCAATTAGAAGAATATTTTAATGAATGGGAATTACAAGTATGTGCCTCCTTTTACAACTTCACTGTGGGTATATTTTTTTCTGATGTAGATAAAAGCTTGTTATATTACTCATTGCGCTGTACAACGCTGTTAAGAGTTCATGGTAAGTTCTTAAATATTTTTTTTTCCTTTCGCTGCAGATCCATCAGGGCACAGTTCCTGTCTCATACACAGTGACAACGGTGGCTCCACATGGGATACCACTCTGCACAGGCCAGCACATCCCAGCCTGCAGCACGCAGCAAGTCCCAGGGTGCTCAGTGGTTTTCAGTGGTCAGCATCTTCCAGTTTGCAGTGTGCCTCCCCCAGTACGTGAGTCTCTGTAATTGCACCAGGGTCAATCTTAGACATAGGAATGGCACCTTGGAACCTCAGTGTCTCTGTGGCTTTAATTTTGTTGAAAATAAACATTTTTTCCCTGTATTATAAATTGCAGCCGCATAGCAATGTAGGCCTTAAGGCTGCTAAGCTTATGGTACTTAGCTGGTACAGTATGACTGTTTGTAGTATAGAGTCCTGACAGTTTTTAATTCAAAAAAATGCCAGTTTATGAACAGACTTCTTAGCGGCAGCTATCTTGTGTACTTTCAGATAGTAACAGGAAGGTTTCTAAGGCTTTTATTAGGCACCTCACCTGGAAAAAAAAATCTTACTTAGTAGAGATCTTGTCAAGGGATTGGTTATATACAAAAAGGTCTGATATTCCAAGGTCGGTTGTGTTCTGAGAAGTAATAAGATCCTGAAAGATCACTAGAAGCTGAGAAGACCTCCTCTGTCTCAAAATGCTGTCATAAGATGAATCAAAATACTTTTTTAATAATAATGTATCTCTGTGACTTTCAGAGATTAAAATAAAATATCTTGACTGGCTAATTTGCTGTCTTTAAATTTGAAAGAATTTTAACTGGTTTCTCAGGAATTGTGTCAATTCAGAGATGCCCCTTTCCACATCATAGCATGCTGATGCCACCATTCTGCTCAAATTTAATCATTAAGTGCTAGCAGGCACCAGAGCTGAAAAAATGTACCCCAAGAAGTTTCAGCAGTGCAAATGAAGGTTGCAAAACCTGCTCAGTCTAGTATAAATCTGTAATAACATACATAAGTAGTATTTACAGTGTCCAGTAATTGTTTATAGTGTTGGCATAAACATTGGCCTCTGCCAGCTGTGCATTTGCCAGCAGTGTGTCACAACTTTTCCTGTTGCACGTGCTGTGACCTGAGGGCATGAACAAGCCTATGACAGCGAAACAAACTGCTTGACGTGACCACCTGTTTCTTTAAGGGACTCCTTGAAGGGTGAAGATAGTTGGCATTCATCTTGTCCAGGTGCCATTTATCCCATGAGAGACAACAGGGTCTGCAGCATACTGCTGGCCAGTGTGGAATTCAACAGTGCAGCTGTCCTTAAAATATATACAGGAGTAAAGCTGTAACCAGATTGGCTGCACTGAACATACAACAGTTAATCACGTGTGTTAAGGGAATAGATGCAGTACAAGTGAATATAAAGAATTAAGGTTGAGTTTATGTAACATTCGCACACAGACTTCATTCTTTCTTCTATTATGTCAGAATTGAGGAATAATGTATATTACAAGGGGGCTCTGGAGATCATTTGGTGGCCGCCTCTTAAAAGTAGTACCAGGATTTCACAGCCCCTCTAAGCCTCTGCTCCAGTGTTTGACTGCCATTCTGTCTCAGATATATCTGATTGGATTTTCATTGCTGCAAATGCATGCCATTGGTCCTTGTTCTTTTGCTTAGCTCCTCAAGAAAGAGTCTGGTTCTACCTATCTGCTCTTACGAAGTAGCTAAAAACAGCGGTAAGGTCTTTGCTTAGTTTTCTCTTTTTAAGGCAGAATAAATCAAATTCTGCAGCCTCTTCTTTTATGGAGTGTGTTACAAGCTTCTGGTCATCATGCTGTCTTTCAGTGGACTCATTTTCGTATGTCAGTGTCTTTCTGGCACTGGGCGGGCCAAAACTGGACATGGGACTTCCAATAGAGTTCCACAAGTTCGAATAGAAGGGCAGAATCACTTCACTGGACCCACTAGTTACATTCTTAGCAATGCAGCACAGCATGCAGTATGCCCTTTTTGACTGCAGGTGTACACTGTTGTGTTTTATGTACTCGTATTTGACATGTCCACTGGAACCCAACTGTTTTTTCTGCAAGTCTGCTCACCAACCAGTCTGTCAAAATGTCCTGCTTCATAGAGTTATTCTTTCCCAGTGCCAAACTTCACATTTGTCTTTGTTGAACTTCACATGGTTCCTGCCAATTTCTCTAGGCTATGAAAGTACATCTGAAAGGTAGCCCTGTCCTCCAGCATGTCATCTTGCTCACCAGCTTCATCTGTGAACCTCCCAGTATCGCTTGTTACTTTCACAGTGTTTGTCTCTGCCTTACTGCATGTCCAACTGTAAAATACAAAAATGTCACTTACGAAATACCTTTGTCAGTTTTAAAACTTTTTGAAAGTGTGTGTTCAAACACGAGTTGTTTTCCAAAAGCCTGAATTAATCAACAGGCAGTTTTTGTTTCTTTCCACTTGAAAGATAACGGAGCCTCATTTGCTCTAACTTAAAAAGTGGCACAGGCATAGCACAGATTGTTCTAAACATATATGAGATCTGTGGTAATCTTTACCGTACAAAATCTTGGGATGAAACCTTTTTTAATGAGTTCCCCAAAGTATCTCCTGTTTTAAAGAACACCGTGTGATGTTCTACTTGCAAATTTATCTTCGGCTATTTTAGAGAGCAGTTTTCAATTTAGTAAAATATCAGTCTTAAAATACATTTTACTAAAATGTATTTTAACAAGCATGATGCTTGCTGTATTTCCTTTTTAGAAAAATGATGTAGTAGCTGAAGGTGAAGAATAGTCAACATTTAAGAAAAAAAACAGTAGTCAGATCGAATTAATCTGCTACTGTTCAGTGTGTGTAAAGATTTATGTTGGGTCATGATCACAGTAAATTGAGGTGATAGTTCCATCTCCACTGACTTTAAACTGGATCTCTAGCATTTTACCCTATTCCAGTCAGTGATGTAACTAAATAAAAAAAAAATATGAAAGCTCAGAACTGGATCCTCTTTCTTCATAGGATTTGATAATGAGTATCTTATTAATTGCTCATTTAATTGTTAGAAATGTAACAGAAATGCCCAATGTTCTGAGGATGGATCAAAGAGCAAGAAAAAGAGAATGTAGGTTTCTTGCTCCTCCATATCTAGAATTAGAAGTAAAGCTGAACACCTTCCACAAAGCATATTCCTGCTCCCCTGCAGTGTCTTCATCTCTTTGCTGTTCAAACTTTAGTGCCAAAGTTGCTTTTGTATGAGGAATTTCAAAGAGGAGAAAACAGGACTATTTCCCACGGTAGCTGTCACTTAGGGAGCCATCTTCGTAGCATACGTCTCCCCTCAAAGTGTGGAACTGAGCAGAGTTTATGAATTATTCTTAATATATAAGGCAACAGAGGTTTTAAAGCACAGTCTGAGAGCTGGGAGTCCCTCAGCTCCACGTAGAGCCAAAAATGGTTGCAAGGCCATTGCTTCAGCATGTCATTTTGAAGATAATATGTGGGGAAAATAAAATTAAGTAGGGTAAATGTACCTGCTCATCACTTAGGAGTCTCTCTAATACTGGAGTATTGAAAATCCCAACTCCCAGTGACGTTATGAGAAGTGCAAGCTACTTTGCACCTAGCAGATGTCACACTGTGGTACTTCCAAAGCCTGTTCTATCCTAATCACTGATCCTTGTTTGTTTGAATGAGGTTTGTGTGTTTTGGGAGGCTTTTCCAAGGAGGCAAAAGAACTGCTTTTGTTACAATGACATCTTTCCATAATAAATATAGAATTTTTAATAGGGGCTGTTTGTGCCAGAAACAAAAATACGTTGTTTTCATTTTATTTCAGATGCTTCAGGCGTGCTCAGTTCAGCACCTTCCAGTACCATATGCGGCATTTCCACCCCTCATTTCTAATGACCCATTCCTTTTGCATCCTCCTCATATCTCTACACACCACCCTCCTCACTTGCCTCCTCCAGGACAATTCGTTCCTTTCCAAGCGCAGCAGTCACGGTCGGTAAGTAATGCTTCTTACTCCCCTCTTCATAGTATTGGTGGGTCTGGATGGGAAAATAGTACTAAGATATCCGACTGAAGAAACTGAAGGATCTTGTTTAAAGTAATAGGGTTTTGCACTTATGCTTCCTTAGCAAGTCTGTAACCACTTACTGTGAAGATGAAAATACAGTTTTAAAGTTCACCATGGTTTTTACAGATTTCATCTGTAAAAGGTGAAAAAGATGTATATTTGCTTCACCAACTATTCCTTCAGATATTTCTTTCCCTCGAAGCAGAAGAGCATCCAGAGGAAGTTTTGTAGTGCAGTAGTGGTCTCAGAGAAAGCTTAGCAGGAGAGAAGAAAGCACAGAATGTTATTTTTATTACATGTTCCTTTTGTATTACATCTCAATTAATTTTTAAATGGCCAATGCTTTTCCTTAAATAATAACCTTATATTGTCTAAACATATTCAGGAGCCTACTGTCTCCCCCTTTTTTTTCTTCACTTATGAAAGTTATTGATGCCTTCTGCTTAAGCTTAGTGATAGGAACTATGCAAACATGGGAAAACATGACCCTGTTTTGGGTTTGAGGGAAATAAGATTTTCAGTTCTGTCCAACAGCTCTTACTGTGGGGTTATCTGTATACTGATGTCTATTTGTTTGCCCCTCTGACTAGAAAATGCCAGTATTTCACTGCAGCAAACGTAGAGAGCAGCTTCCTTATTACTTACTAACAATGCTGAGACTTCTCCATGCCATGTTTCAGTTGTGGAAAAGGTTACAGTCACTTTATTATGATGATAGGAGAACAGCCAGGAAAACACGGTTTCCAGTGGTAATCTTTGTAGGACTTTCCTTTAGAAAATGTATGGGTCTGGGTTTTAGATTGAGTTGCTTACTTAGGTTATTGACTAGGCTTGCCTGTCAACATTCAGCTCCTGCAAAAAGCTTGTATGTTATTGGTTTGAGAATACCTTGTGTTTAAATTTGGTTCTACATAACAGGGAATCAGAATATTCCTTTGGTACCACAAGGTTCCTTAGCTGAATTTCTTGAAACAGTGGAATTCAGTATCAGGAACAGAAAAGTGTATTAACGAAACAGTGACAATTCCTGCTTATTTCTTGAGCACTTTTGGGACTGATTGATGTTGACTAGAATATAATGCTGAACCGGAATCTCATGCTTCTGAAACCTCTGGACTGTGTGTTCTTGGTAGGACTGTTTGCATGACCCTCCTAGGAAAGCATCTTCTTGATCACCAAGTATCATTATCAGTTTAATTCACTGAAGTTGCCATGTTTCCTCTCCACTTTTCAGTTTTTCTGGCACAATTTCAGTTCTTGTCTATGGTTGTTTATTTTTTTCTCTCACATAGTTGTACAGTAAGAGCAGCCTGGCAAGAAGGAGAGCAAATATGTGTCCTGAAAAATGCAAGACACAGGAAATTACAGCCACTCCTATACTTGCTAGATCGCATAAATTCCTGTCTATAAGCATGGCTAGCTGGAAAAGGTGAATTTATATCAAACGCGTAGTGTTGTCTTTGCTTTTTGGTAGTGTTAATGACGCAGGAATTGTTCCCAAAGTTACTATGTGAAACTGAGTACAATTATACCTGTTATTTATTATTTTTTTTACCTTATAAAATTTACCACATCAGCTCAGAATATACAACTGGGATTGCAGTTTTTTACTGGGGAAAATGACATCTCTATTACTGCAGCAAAGCCTATCTCTTTTTCTTTTTTTAGCCACTTCAAAGGATAGAAAATGAAGTAGAACTGCTTGGAGAACATCTCCCTGTAGGAGGTTTTACATACCCTCCCTCAGCCCATCCACCAACACTGCCTCCCTCAGCTCCTCTCCAATTCTTGACCCACGATCCTTTACACCAAGAGGTGTCATTTGGTGTAGTAAGTATTGTTTTCTGTACTACATTTTTTTTCAAGCTGCATTAACATTCTTGATCTTTATTCTATAGTACATTTTGTTGAAAAGTGGCACTTCTTGCAGTTGTATTCCATTATTGACTATAGCTGCATACCACAGTATTTTCTTTAAGCTTGTTTTAATAAACTTATGGGTAACTTAATAACACCAGCAAATGATTTCTGATAATTTTGTCTGCAGAGTGTCATAGCAGTTACTTAGAAAACATTCCACATTGCCACACAGTCCAGGACCTCTAGTGCAGAAAATAATTAGTACAGTTTAGAAAAGCTACTGTCACTTTTAGCTAATTCTTCATCATATGTTGAGTTTCCACAAGCCAGGACATCTCCAAAGTGTTTTCACTTTGCAGGCAAGCAGTTGTATATAGTGCTTCCACCATTTAGACTGCACAGCTTTACAAAGGCAGCCAAGCTTGCTTTAGCCAGCTTTCTGGGGATCTACCAGCAGTTCAGCTGCAGCAGCACCAAAAAAATTAAACCCGGTGTGGGATATAGTCTGTGCTAAATTTTGTGCTTCTGTGGTGTGTCCACTAACTGTACTACCTCCAGGATTTTTTAGGTGTGCATCAATCTGCAATTATATTAGTTCTGAGATTTTGTTCTTGTTGTTTTGTGGGGGTTGTTTGGGGTTTTTTTTAAAACTTCTCTTGCCTCTGTAATGCTTGAAGAAATAATTAGAAGTCAGGTATAGGCTCTGTATTTTTTAAATGCTTGAACTGTGCATCAAGTTCACAGAAGGTTTTAGAGGCGTGTTGTTATTGAAAATTTTAAATGAGAATGAAATTTTAGGCCCTGTGACTACAGAATATACAGATAACTTCTCTTGAATTAGTCTTCTTGAAATCACACAGCTGAGTTAAATGCTTGCTACAGATTTTATAGAGGTTCAAGTCCCCACCATTAAAAAAAAAATTCAGCTCATTGTTAAACTAAAGGTGTACAGATTTTCAATAAAGTTTTCAGTGAGAATGAGTCGCTCTCAAGACAAAGACACTTAAAAACTTCCATAAACTGCTTATATTTCATTCAGTAAGCCTGTTAAGTTATTATTACAATCTAATCACAAACATTTTGGTGGGGGGAGGCTTTGTTGATTTCCAAGTTCAGACTTTAAAGAAGATAAGGAACAAAATACCGTTTCTTGCAGATTATCTAGCACTTGTCTTGTGTGATGCTTCAGTTCTGGGTTTATATCACCAAGAAGTAGAATAGAAGTGTATTCTAAGTAATCATACAGGGCTTTTTTGAAGCAAACCTAAATCTTTACATAATTTTATTTATATTAAAATAATGATGGAATGGCTGCATTTCTGATTCTCTTTCATTCAGTGAACACAACAGTTTCTAATTATATTTTTGAATTGCAGAATTCACAAAGCAGTAGAATTAATATTTGCTATGTCTAGTTTGAGATTTTACTTTCAAGAAGAAGACCCTGACTCTTTTCCATTATGTCCATATTCATATGTAAATTTTATGTATGACCATTCCTACCTATTAATAATGTTTCCATTATAAAGTTAGGATGTTTTAGGTTAGTTGCTGGTGGTGTTAGGCTTTTGCGTTTTCTTAAATTTCAAACGTGAAGGAAGAGAAACGTGTTAGTAAAGACTTCTGAGTGTTATTTGTTGAAGAAAAAAATTCTGAATATTAATTCAGTAGTGGTGTGTGAAATTCAGTTTTAAAACTTGCTAAAAAGTTTTAGTACTTTGAATATTTTTGGAAATAAGTAGTTTCAATTTAAGTGGAAATTTTTTACCATGTATGTCCCCATTGTAATAGGTAATGCAAGGAATTTTGAAAAATTATATGAAAACTTAAATATACAAGTAGCAAGATTAGCGTGCAAATGAAAAAAAAAAATTGATAAAAAAGCCCTGATTTATCCATGGAAAGAATACATTGAACTTTTAGGGTTGACTGTCTCTTTAAGCATTAACCCAGCTGCAGAAATTGTGCTGATTGAACTTCCCACATACACTTGAAAGCTTTCTTTAACATAAATGTAAATATACATTACAGCTTAAAAGAGTTTTTTTAAAGAAGAAGGTTTTTTAAAAATCTTTTTTTTAAGAATTTTTGGGTTTTTTAAAAGGCTTCTTTACTCAACCACTTGTGCTCAGGCCTGCATAATAGCATCAGAGCTAAAGCCTGAGAATTTATATGTGCAAGAGGGTCAGCAGCTCAAGTCCCATTTCCCAAACCAGCCTGCATGTAGACTGAGCACCCAAGAGCTGTCAAGGATTTTTGTTGTGTTATACTATGTTTTTCACATCGAATGTTATGATTGTGTGTTATTGATGGTAATTGTTTCAAACTGAGGCTGAGGTTCTTTTAGATTTGAGTAGAGGCTGGATTTTTTTTAATAATGCTTTATTGAAAGTGTATTTCAGTATTCAGATTTCATTTTATTTCATGATTAAGAAAACAAAATGTTGAATCACAGACTCACAGACTGGATAAGGTTGGAAGGGAGGTCATCTGGTCCAACCCCCCTGCTCAAGCAGGGCCACCTAAAGCTGGTTGCCCAGGACCATGTACGGTCAGCTTTTGAATGTCTCCAAGGAGTGAGACTCCACCACCTCTCTGAGCAACCTGTGCCAGTGCTCATTCACCCTCACAAAGTAAAGAAGTGTTTCCTGATGTTCAGACGGAGCCTCCTGTGTTTCAGTTTGTGCCCATTGCCTCTGGTCCTGTCACTGGGCACCACTGAAAAGAGCCTGGCTCCGTCTTCTTTGCACCCTCCCTTCAGGTATTTATGTACGTTGCTAAGATCCCCCTGAGCCTTCTCTTCTCCAGGCTGAACAGTCCCAGCTCTCTCAGCCTTTCCTCATATGTGAGATGCACCAGTCCTATCTTAGTGGCCCTTCGTTGGACTCTCTCCAGTATGTCCATGTCTGTCTTGTGCTGGGGAGCCCAGAACTGGACACAAGTTCCAGTTCCACAAGTTTCAGTTGAAGCTTATTTTGTTCTTTCTTGCAGCCTTACCCACCTTTTATGCCTCGAAGACTCACAGGGCGCAGCAGATACCGATCACAGCAGCCAATACCACCACACCCTTACCACCCCAGCTTATTACCTTATGTGCTGTAAGTTCAAAGTACATTTGCTTCCATGTAGGCTATTAAAGAAGTCATGTGACTTGCAACAAGAGTCTTGGCACTTTTTATGATTTGATTCTACCAGGGAACAGGCAGAGTTCAGCTGTCACAATGAGGAGGGAAAGTGTAAAATTTTCAGCCTGTTTTGAATAACTCACACCCTTAAGCAAAGAAAAATACTAAGTGAACAGTTTTGTTCAATGCAGTTTTGTAGGCTTTTTTGAGGCACGGTAGCCTCTTGTTTCTGAACTCTTTCATAAAATCTTCAACAAATTTTAAAACTTGGTTCTTGGATACTCTTACAGAGGCATGGTTACACTCTAGGGTAAAGTCCTAGGAGTCTTCGCTTATGGAGTAAATTAATTTGGCTTGGTTCTTAATTATGAAACACAAGGGTGGGAGCTTTCTATGATGTGTTACTCTTGTTGGCTTAACTGCTGATCTGTTGAATTTCTGTTCTGCCTCTGATTACATCTGTTTCTGGAAAAGATGTGGGACAATTAACATTTAGGAATTATCTGTAGTGTGTTATGGTAGATTCTCTGTGGAGGAGTTTGGGTATATGACATGAAATTTATTACTCTTATATGTGCTGTTTTGGAAATAAGTACTAAGTGTTTGGAAAACAGAGATTATTTTCTTGTGCAAAAGCGACGTTTGACAAGAAAATAACCAAATATTGGCACCAGACCTGTAGTTTCTCTCTGTGTAGTTTCAGATGTGGCATGAAAATGGCACCAGAAATCCGATCCAGTGAAGTTGTTCAACTTTGCATCTTACAGTCTGAGAGTAATGTCATAGCTTCTTGCTTGTACATTGAGGACACAATGTGGCGCAGTAATTCCTGATGACTTCAGTGGGATTGTAGTATATTTTAGTGCTGTAGATTTCTGACTTCTTTGTCTGAGTTAAGTTTTGACCCATTGTACTGTCTTGGGGGATAAGACCACTTGTTGAATATAAAAACAGAAAAACATCTCTCTCTTGCCTCTCTATCTGAAGGGATTGTGCTTTAACTAACATGACAGTATATATAATTTAGTGAGTTTGTGCTTGCCTTCAGTATGGAATTTAGTCCAGTAGCATATCCTGTTTATCTTCATTGTGTGTTTTAGGCTTATGAAAGTTTCAAGGTTTTTGTATCGGAGAGCAAAGTGAACTTAGGGTTCATTTTCTTTGTTGGTATTTATCCACTTAAAGAAATAAAATATATTTAAAAACAGAACATCAATTTATTGACAGTTTTACCTCTCCATAATCTGTGATAACCAAGAGATTAGTTTTTGTAATAATGCTGAGCCTGGTTGGAAATATCAGTTGAGACATGCATGCAATTAAAAAGGCAACGCTCCCAATAACGAAAAGTGGCAGAATTTGCTTTTTCCTTTGATTCTTTCACTTGAAAAAATCTACTCTTGACTTCGAACTTAGCATTTTTATCAGTTCTGAGAAGCTGTTGATTTGAAAGGAATCGATAAGGTAGCTGTACCTCTGCCAGATGTTTCTGTGCTTTCCTTCAGCAAGATGCTGAACCTTATCATTGTTTGCTCTCATGGTAGATCAATGCTCCCAGTGCCACCTGCAGTTGGACCAGCTTTCAGCTTTGAGTTGGATGTGGAAGATGGCGAGGTAGAAAACTATGAGGTTGGTGTGCGAACTACAACTACCTTTAAAGAACAGATGTTAGCACAAGCAATACATAAATTTTTATTATATTTTGCTTTTAATCCTACTTTTGCCTTTCAAATAAATGTTATGACTGTGAAGACAGAATCCAGAAATCATCTTTTCAGATTTTTTTGCAGTACTCAATATTAGAAGTGCTTAGCTTTACTTTTTGTCTGTTGCTCTTTTCCAGAATCTACCCTTCCCATCTAGTAGTCACTAAATTGTCCAGCTTTTCTGTTCTACATGCTACTCTTCTCCTTTTTATTTTTAATGGATTTTAAGTATCAAACAGAAGTGAAGCACTTTCAAAAGTGAAGTTGATTGCTGGTTTTATATGTGTAACTTTGCAGAATAGTGTTAATACAGAACAGTGTTAATGTCATAGGATTAATTAATCTAAATATAATGTTTATAAAACTGCCTTACTGCCTTTTCTTCTTGGCTTCAGGAGGGTAAAGTAATTCACGTCTATAGATGTAGAACCCTCTTTAATATCCTAGATAATTATCAGGCAGCCCCAGCTGTTGTGTCTTTGCTGGTTCTGAGACCATTGTATTCCATTTGATTTCTCTTCAGTCATCATCAGTGCTTACTTTTACATCTCTTTGCCTGTGGTCCCCTTAAGAGCTCTCTGTAGTTGCACATTTTCAGTTTAACAATGAGCACTACTGTAATAACTTCTATGCTAGTTCAGAAGAAGCATCATCTTATTTCTGAGAATTTGGGCCCCAGGTTTCACAGTATTAGAAATCTCCTTGTGATCAGCGCCACTTGCAGCTTTCACCAAGTCTTTTAACTTTTCTATGCCTTGGTTCTCCATCACATTTATAGTGATACTTTTCCTAGCATTCCTTGTGAAGGAATGCAGGTTACATACATGACAAGAGTGCAAATTATTTACATGAGAGGCTTTTAGTGCAATGCTTGGTGCTTAGAAATTGAACATAAAATTGAGGAAAAAAAAATTGCTTAAAGTTTGATGATATATATTTCTTTTCCAGATTCAGGATAAAATCCCCATTTTTCAGTTCAGCTAGACCAAGATGTGAAGTGGGAATCAGAACCTGTCCAATTAAATTCTTGGTTTCTCTCACAAGACCAGACTTGCATATTCCTAGGAAGGAAATTTGTTGATGATTTTTTCTGGTTACCAGTACTATGAATTTCATAGCAGGGTGAGGGGATCCTTCAGAAGGAAAATACCATGCTGCATGTGCAGCCACAGGACTAATTGGAAGCTGGGTCCTGGATATTTTGAAACCCCAAAAAGAACATCTTGCATAATTGGAAAGATGGTTGAATTCTGAGAAGACTTTGCCATGGTGCTTCTGTTGTAGGGAAGAATTAAGGTTTGAAACATTTCTTGATAGAAGGATGTTTTGTGCTGCCAGCTGGGGTAATGAGGTGTAATGGCTGCCCTACCTCTTGTGGAACCAGAGCCTGTTTGAGCAGGGAATTTTTAAATGTCCGCTTCCCATGTTTTGCAGGCACTCTTGAACCTGGCAGAACGTCTGGGAGAAGCCAAACCAAGAGGATTGACAAAGGCAGACATTGAACAGCTTCCATCCTACAGATTCAATCCAAACAATCACCAGTCAGAACAGACATTGTAAGTGCCATGGTCTCTTTCAAAGGTCCATAATTTAGGTGGCTCTATTCCATTTCCTTAACTTGCAGCAGTAGCAAGGCCAGAGGGGCTTTAAAAGCAGTCCTGTCAATAAAGTTTAATTTAGTTTTTTTTCCTTGGGCTGCTTTCTGGATCAAATACTGTTTATCCTTACTTTAAAACTTCTATCTAATCTCACATAATTTAGCCATGTTTCAGTTGAGTTCCTCAGCATTTAAAAAAATTAAAATGAATGGAAGATATTCTAGGTTCTGTTCACCAAACTAGACTTTGAAGTGACATTGTCAATTTGGAATTTAGCATTTGTTAAAATAGCTTCAATTGCTGAAGTTTCAAGTGCTCCTGATAGAGCTTGGTCAGTGGTTTCAGAGTGCATCTTTTTACTTTTAAAACCCATTAATTTACTGTGAAAGATCTGCACAGCCAAGTGGAATGGGCTGTATAGATATAAAAGTAGTTAAAGTGATTTAGTACCAAATGCTATCTAATGTTTGAACTCCAGTGTAACGATTTTTCTCTGGTGTTCCCATGATCCTCAGTGTGACTTACCAGTATCAGTAGGGAGTAAACTTACAGATCATTATATCCACCATTTTGGTTTTGATTAAACATCTGTTCTATTGTTTGGGTCTATGAACTCCTGTGTTCTTACACAGCAGATACATTTGAACTTTGTTGTCTTTTTTAGATGTGTGGTGTGCATGTGTGATTTTGAGTCAAGGCAGCTACTTAGAGTCTTACCCTGTAACCACGAGTTCCATGCTAAGTGTGTCGATAAATGGCTGAAGGTAAAAAAAAAAAAGATAATTTATTAATTCCTAACATAGGGGATTCATTATGTAGTTTTGGGGGAGGGACTGTGGGTATTTTGGTGTTCCACTTCATCTTGTTTCACATTTGTAATTCTTAATGCTAGAATTGCCAACAGAGTGGAAGCACTGCCTACTTATGTTTTTTCTAACAATTGATGAAGAATGTTTCTTTATAATCTTTGGCACAGGGAAAAATGAATATGAAAAGAAATATTTTCATTAGCATACATTACTGTGTTTTCCATTTGCACAAAACAATGCCTGAATTTGAGTAATACGTGAAATTAAAGAAAGCTTCAAAACAAAAAAAGAATAATACAGGAAATATAAATTAGAGTTTCAGTGATGATGGTGGCTTTAACTATTTTACATAACCTGCATAGCAAGAATGAGTACTAATACCTTCCTCTCCCACTTTGCTATTAACATCAGGTTCTGGGGCAAATAAAATGTGTTATGTATGTACATATATGTGTATGCATATATATAGAAATGTAATGTATGCAAATAGAAATAATGGTTTTAAAAATTACGATATACCCTTCTGAGAGAAATGGAGCAGAAAAGAAGGGATCTAGAATCAGGGCAGCCCAGAAAGAGGACAGAAAATAGCAGCAGTACAGAAGATGTGAAGGACAGGAAGTAGAAATAAGTAGATGATGATGATACAGACATTTCTGCAAGGTGCATTAGCCAGATCTACTGAGGTACTGATCCCTATCTTGCTTCCCCTATTTTTGGTATTTTATTCTATTCAGCTTAAGTTTAAGTCTGTGTGTACGCGGTTGTGTGGAACATTTGAAACTGCACTGATCCTATTTTAATACAGAATACAGTTCCTAGAGACTTACAGACAGCGTCTGTTGTTTCAGAAAAAAGAAAATAAACCCCCTTGCCTTTATGGCTTCATAAAAGCAAGAAAATGCATATATTAGACATACACTAGAGAATTCAGGTCAGAGAATGAAAAAATCAATTTAATATTGACAGCATTCTTTTGGCTAACAAGGTGTCAAGACTAATGAGAAGGATTTTAAAAACTGGGATATGCAATTGGTCTTGGGCTGCAGTACCCAAGGTAGGTTAAGGCTTCTAAAAGACCTAAGGCCAGTGAGTTTCCACAACAATACAACATAACTTGCAGTAGAACTGGTGTCCTTCAGTATCTGCATCCATGTACATGCTTGAAAATCATCAAGAGGAATGTAAACATCTAGATGTTTTATTGTCAGATTAAAAAGCCACATACACACCCACACCCATGATATTATCAATATATCTGTGCTAGATGTATGCAGTTTTATTCAATAACTGCAAATTAAAAGTAGATTCTATCTATTAATTGGGTATTCTCCAGTGTTCCCCTGTTCTTTTTGAGGAGAATTCACTGGATTTGTGAAGGTTTTTTTGTTGCGTGAAACTTTATATATCGTTTGTGGTGTGCGCAGAGTATCCAGGCATAGTATTCAGTCCATTTTATGAAAAAAGAACTAAGTTTATTTGACACAGCCTGTGAGAATAGCGGTTGCTATAGATAGGTATTTATCTATAGGTTAAATTGATTATATAGATTTTTTTTAAAATGCAGCTCTTTCCAGGGTATTAATACAAAAAGATATACCTCTGATTCATAGAGCCCCTTATCTGCAAATTGCTGGAAGTTAGAAAAACATGTCAGGGAAGTATCATGCATGCTTGTCCTGTTCTTATGCTCTTTCTTACCTGACATTGATTTCAAGAGTCAGACAAGTATGTTGAATCAAGCTTTTTTGGGCACTTAGTGGGGCAGTTCTACAGTTAGATTTAGTACTTTCAACTGGTAATGAACTCACAATCAAATTCAGAACAGCAAAATGAAAAAAGCAGATTTAGTTCAGCCTTCTTTTTCAGAATTGTAGATGTACTGTAGTAGTGGTAAAACAGCTTTTTTCAGTTTTTAGAAACCATGTATTTTTGAACAGATCTTCAAGTGTGTATTTTCTGAAGGTTGTGGTATCATAGGAAAACCCTATGTCCGCAAAAGTGTCAGCTAGCTGGGGGAATGAGTGAAAGATACGCAATCTAAACTAAAGGGGGTGCAGTTATACCCACGTAAAACTGCTTGTATTGGCATCATGTATTCCAGAGCTAGATGCAAAATAAGATAGATAAGGTTAAAGCATCACAGTGTAGGATTGCTATTTTACACCGTGTGGGTTTAGTTACACTAATATGAAGATGTTGTGTGGAAATAAAGATTATTTTCATTGCAAACTATGACAAATTGCCTGTAACACCAGCCTATTTTAGTTACAGCCTCTATCTAAACTTGGTTACAGTTAAACAGCAACCGTCTGGAGGTAAGGATAACAGGAAGGTATTTTGTGCTATAGTTTTGCTTCTGTCCATTCCTTTATGTATTTGACAAGTTGACAAGTTGGGGTTTTTTTATATCTACATTGACATATAATTAGTATAATTATGTCCACATCCACTTAATTCACACCTTCCAGGCAACATCATGTTGATAAATTCTGCAAGGGAAGGTAAAAATCACAGCTTTAAGTACCTGTAACTTTTTTCCACCAGGTAAAAAATATTAAAATTTTAGCAGTTTGTCCCTATGTTTTAGTGATTTAATCTTGGCCCTTTGAAGAAAGTATTTGTTATCTAGGAATATTTCTAGAACTGGTTCTAGAACTATGCAGTCAAGTCGATCCTTTTAAGTTTCACTGTTTTGTTAGTGAAGGGTTTAAATGAAAGGATGGTGATCCCATCTCATTATTTTAAAAAATAAATCCTTATTCTACTGCCTGTTGTTGATGATGGAGAAAAAAAAAATCAGGTATCTAAGAGCTTTGTCTATGCGTAAAAGGTTTGATCTGCCCTGCCTGGTATAATGCGATGTGCATTACTACTTTTTTAAGTAGTGTGAGCAAGTGAGAGGAAGTGCTCTTTTACAGAGCGCTACTTTCCCACTTAAATTTATACTTCCCTCGTTAAGCAAGGTTAAAGACTTATGAAAGAAAATGTAATACACTGGAGAAAACAGAATTAAGAGGGATTTTATCTTTTTGCTTTTCATAGTATTGTTAACTCTCCCTTTTCACAGTATTTGGTTATTTCTTAATGCCCTAAATCCTTTAGTCAAATATGAAAACATGTGAAATCTGTTCTTTTGTAAAGTATAGAGTTAGTCATTGTGCCAAAGGACAGCTTGAAAGCATAATTTGTCTTGATCCTGAGGGCTTAGAACCAGATAACAAAGACAACTTGTTTTATATTAAATGTTCTGATAGGAACTGCTGTATTATATATGAGAAAAGGCAAACTAAGTTAGTCTAACTTAGTTCCAATGTACTACCACCAAAATAGTGCAATGATTATTAGAGGATTCTAGTAGCCCTACAAATGCATTATTCTAAATGCAGTTCAATTTAGCTGTAAATGTCCTTAAATTATAAAAAAAATAAATCAGTTCATTATGCAGCTCTCTGGCCTTACAGCAGAAAAAGTGAGTTTGCCTGAAAGAGTGGCTAGTTAGAAGGTGATTATTATAATATGGCCACCTTACTCCTCTTTTTGCACCAGTCATGTTAAATGCCAGGAAGGGGGAATGAATTTCATGAAAGGCATAAGAATGTAAGTAAATTTAAATCAGATATTTGTGTAGGATCTTTAAAAGTTACTCAAAAGCAGTACTGCAGTATCCATGAGTATTCATTTCATCCTGGCACAGTGGATTTATTTCTGCAATTCCTGTCAGGAAATTACTCCCACTTGAATGCTCTATGTAATGCTACAAAGGGTAGATACTTCATTATTTATCTCAGTGAATACCTCTTGATTGATTAATCCATTGAATTTTGAAGCACATGACAGGTAACCTGGGAAGAATACAGAGAAGTTGTCCAAGCAGCCAGGGATCAGGTTAAGAAGTCTAAAGCCCAGGCAGAATTAAATCTGGCCAGGGACATCAGGTACAAAAAGAAAAAATTCTGTAGATATGTTGTTGACAAAAGGAAGACTTGTAGGGAAACTGTGGGCCCACTGAGGAACGAAACGGGAGACCCGGTCACTTGCAACATGGACAACGGTGAGACACTCAATGACTTTTTTGCCTTATTCTTCACCAGCAAGTGCTCTCTACTCACACCACCCAAGCCACAGAAGGTAAAGGCAGGGACCAGCAAAATCAGGAGGCCCCACTGCAGGAGAAGGTCAGGTTCAAGATCATCTAAGGAACCTGAAGGTGCACAAGTCTGTGGGATCTGATTAGATGCATCCACGGATCCTGAGGGAGCTGGCAAATGAACTTGCCAAGCCACTATCCATTGTACTTGAGAAGTCACAGCAGTGCGGTGAAGGTCCTGCTGACTGGAAAAGGGAAAATATACCCCCCATTTTTTATAAAGGGGGAAAAAAGGAAGATCCAGGTCAGTCAGTCTCACCTTGTGCCTGGCAAGATGATGGATCAGATCCTCCTGGAAACTCTGCTAAGGCACATGGAAAATATGGAGGTGATCGGTGACAGCCAACATGGCTTCACTAAGGGCAAATCATGCCTGACAAATCTGGTGGCCTTTTATGACGGCATTACAGCATTGGTGGATAACGGAAGAGCAACTGACATTATCTACCAGGGCTGGTGCAAAGCATTTGAAACTGTCCCACACAACATCCTCATCTCTAAATTGTAGACGTGGGTTTGACCAGTGGAACACTCAGTGGATAAGGAATTGGCAGGATGGTCAGACTCAAAGAGTTGCAGTCAACAGCTCAATGTCTGAGTGATCGCCAGTGATGAGTGGTGTTCTTCAGGGGTCAGTATTGGGACCAGTGCTGTTCAAAATCTTTGTTGGAGACGTGGACAGTGGGATTGAGTGCACCCTCAGCAAGTTTGCTGATGACACCAAGCTGTGTGGCGTGATTGACACGCTGGAGAAAAGGGATGCCATCCAGAAGGACCTGGACCGGCTTGAGAAGTGGGCCCATGCCAACCTCATGAAGCCAAGTGCAAGGGCCATCCCAAGCACAAACACAGGCTGCGTGGAGAATGGATTGAGAGCAGTCTTGAGGAGAAGGCCTTGGGGGTGTTGGTGGATGAGAAGCTTGACAAGAGGTCAAGCTCAACAGTTCAGAAAGCCGTCTGTATCATGGGCTGCATCAAAAGAAGCATGGCCAGCAGGTCGAGGGAGGTGATTCTGCCCCTCTACTTTGCTCTGGTGAGCAAAGTAGAGATCCCACCTGGAGTACTGCATCCAGCTCCAGAACCTTCTATATTCAAAGCACATGGAAGTGTTGGAGCAAGTCCAGCGGAGGGCCTTGGAGATGGAGCACCTCTGCTATGAAGACGGGCTGAGAGTTTGGATTGTTTAGCCTGGAGAGGGTTCCGGGGAGACCTTGTAGCAGCCCTGCAGTACTTAAAGGTGGTCTACAGGAGATAGGGAGGGACTCTTTATCAGGGAGTGACCTTCTATATTCAAAGCACATGGAAGTGTTGGAGCAAGTCCAGCGGAGGGCCTTGGAGATGGAGCACCTCTGCTATGAAGACGGGCTGAGAGTTTGGATTGTTTAGCCTGGAGAGGGTTCCGGGGAGACCTTGTAGCAGCCCTGCAGTACTTAAAGGTGGTCTACAGGAGATAGGGAGGGACTCTTTATCAGGGAGTGTAGTGATAGGATAAGTGATAATAATTTTAAACTGAAAGAGGGAAAATTTAGATGCTTAGAATAAATTCTTTACTGTATGGGTGGTGAGACACTGGAACAGGTTGCCCAGAGAAGCTGTGGATTCCCCTTCCCCTGGAGGTGTTGAAGATCTGTTTGGATGGGGCTTTGAGCAACCCAGTCAAGTGGGAGGTGTCAGGGACACCCACATCACAGTGGGGTTGGAACAAGATGACCTTCAAGGTCCCTTCAAACCCAAACCATTTTATGATCCTGTGATTCTTAGTTGTATTTTCATTGAAAAATTCAGCTTCCTTAGAAAATCTTGAAGTTGACAGTGCTTTGTCCTGCAATGAAATACAGCATTTGAGGCAGGGAAGAGTTCTCTTCGCTCTGCCCTTTGCGAAGTGTTTTATCATAGATGTTACATGTTTGTTTTGGGCTTTTTCTCATCATTTGCTAAAATGAAATTAACCTTTATTTGAAAAGGGCAATGAGAAGGCAGAAGTACTTTCCCAGTAGCTAGCTTAAGGAATGTTATTTTTCATGTGTCTTATTTTTCTAAGGAACCTATAAAAGTAAAAGAGTCACAGGACATATTTTCAGTGAGTGCTTTACTGATGGGCTAAATTAAGATGTGTTCTGTGTGTAATTTGAATATGTTTCATCAGATCTTCTTTTCTCTCTCTCCTTTCTCTCTCTTCTTTCTATCCTTTCTCTTTTATAAAAGCCCTTTCCTTGTCCTCTGCTCTGCTTTCAGCTTTGACCAAGTCTATATGATGGATTTCTGTGAGAATAACTGAACAAATAGAGTATGAAGAGTTGTGATTCCTGATCAGTAGACACCCTCATATAGGATGTTTATTTGCAGACCAAGGTTGCTAGTCTGATTTTGGTGGGTTTCTCTACAGCACACAGTAACGGCTTCTTAGTTGCATCCGACTGCAATATACTATAACTATGTATCTGCATTAATAAAACCACTATCACTTCAATAAAACTTGGTTGGTATTTTGCTTTATCTTCAAAGATAAAAGGCACAATTTCAGTAATCACAGAAGTCAGTGTCATATACACATTAACTTAACAATGTATTTGTCAGTACAGTAAACCCTCTTTTGTTTCTGGTTTTACAGGCGAATCGTACCTGCCCAATTTGTAGAGCTGATGCTTCAGAAGTGCATCGTGATTCAGAATGACCAACCTAAGAGCACAAATCTGGTTTGGGTGTTTCTGGTCACATGTATATATGAACTATCTATTGAACTTACCCATGTGGCTTCCAGCCTACCCTTTACACAAAAGGGTCAGTGGACCTTACTTTGCACTGTGTGACTTAATCGATTATAAAGCTTATAACTAGTCTTCACAGTAACAGGATTGTTATACTAACAGTGTGATTGGAACTCCAAAGATATTTTTTTTAGCTTAATTTTGTGTGTGCACTAACATTCCCTGGTTTTTGTGTGATCATTCCGAGTGTGCTGCGAGATTACTGTTGATGTGATCTTTTAGCATGTGCTTTTATATAAAAGAAAAAGGAAAAAAAAAAGTGGTAGCTCCAAACAATATAGCAATCTACCTTATATAGAGCCTTCAGATACTGTGAGCGGGAATGAATGGCGTGAGTGTATGTTTGCTTGTGAAAGGATGTGTGAAGTGTGCTTGTGACCGAGTGTGCATGTGTGTTTGAGAACCTATATACCAGCATGTACTGAGAACGTATGTGTGTAGTAATACTTATGCTGCAATGTATAATCTTGTGTGTTATTTAAACAGTACTAGTACTGTACACTGGTTCCTTTCCTTGTGTTTGCAGTTGCACACTGAATGTGATGGGTGCAGCAATTACAGACATTTAGTATTTCCTCCGCAATGTACTTACAGGTATAAAGACCTTTCTACATACTATTCAAACAGCTGTTATTCTTCCCCTTCATTGGAGGCTTTAAATGTGTACCACTAAAGAGTGCATTGATTGTTCATACATGAATAACCTTGGGGTTTTTAGCATATGTTACAAAATCTGGATTTTTAAATGGCTGATTTACAAGTTATTTTATCAATGTAAAGTTGCTATATCGCACAAATCATTTAGCAATATTAATATTTTCAATTGCTAACATGAATAGCAATGCTTTTCTGTTCTCCTTTTAATTTTTTCTATCTGAGTTTGCCACTTACATGCTTCTTCCATTAAAGGAAGCAGAAAGGAGACTGGGGGTCTTGTGCAACAGCTTTTCACTTTTGGTCATTGTACTTGCGAAGGACATATCTTTTACCTTATAAATACTGGCTTTAATCTCATGCACTCTTTGTCATTTACAAGGGAGTTTATATGCAACTAAAATAAGTTGTAAAAGGTTACAATTTTATTCCTGCAACTTCATGAATACAATAAAATTTTTAGCGTTTTCTCAAGAGAAGTAGAACTTCTGATTTTTTTCATTGTATCACAAGAGTTTTGATCACTAACTGCAGAATTCAATTGCCCTGATGCTGCTTCTTGCCCTTCCTTGTTTTATGATGAGTGTTATATGAAAAAAGAACTTCCTTGGCTTTTGCAGTTAAGTTTCCAGAGCGTTCCACTCTGAGAAGAGTGGAGAAAATTGGAACACCTTCTAGAACAGCGCTGTGAAATAGCAGGTGATAACCTCTATTCAGGTGCTCTGAATAGTGGTTTATTTGTGCTATTGAAAAACAATTTACCTTAATTTATAACGTTCAGACTGTTAACATTTTCAGTATATTCTAGCAAAATATTTAGGTCTGCATACCATAGTCATTCAAAGGATGCACTTTTTTGCCACAAAATTCTCTTAAATTCAGTGTCATTACTTTGGTTGCAGCAGCACAAGTGACACAATTAGCAATATTGCTGCAACTTGCTGCCAGTCTCAGCTTTAAGTTTATTCTTTATCATTTCTGATGCTTTTGTATGCTGCTATGCTTTAGTATCAGTTATAATTTCAAACAGTGTTAGATGTTCTCTGTGCTGATTTTCCTCTTTGAAGATTCTACAGACCAGTCGCAGCTCTTGGTGCAGGTAAAACAAAAGCACAATTTTGCCTTATTTCAGATGCTCTTCCCTCTGTTTAGTTATGCAGGTAGTTCTCAAAAACAGTGAGTCTTTCCATGCCTATCCATACTTAACACTAAATAAATAATGCTGTTACATCAACTTCAAAATATTAGAATTTTTTCTCTCTTCCCAGGGAGTTAAAGAATAGGTTTTTCAGAATAACAGCTAGCAGGTTGAATTACATGTAATAAGATTTATTTTTTTAACAAATGAAATCATGTTGTTTAAAAAGCATATGCCATATATGTCTTAAAAAACTTAGGCTCTTTTATATAACTGCAAAAGAAAAAATTCTCTCTGTACAGATTTAAACATAATTAACACTACTGTGCTAGTATTCAGTTTGAAGCATGGAAAGAGGGTACTTTTTCTAAGCTAGATAGAAGTGAAAAAGACACATCCTTCTGTAGCCAAGGGAAGGTGGTCCTCTTTCTAGAACTGGAGAAATCTTGATGTGTAATGTCCCTTTTTCCCCAGTAAAACTCTGTGAGGCAGTGGGAGATCTAGGAGATGGAAGGTCTAAGTTGGGAAAATCCTGAAATTAATTGTTGCACTCTTATGGCTCATCTCTTCTGGAATGGTTCTTTAGTTTGCATGGGACTCCTGCAGATGTATGTGGACTCGCTTCCTGTGGTTAGTGTGTGTAAGCAACACACGTGCATATGTTCTGAATCAGCTCAGACAAGCTACAGCCAAGTCCTCTCTGTCATGGCTGTCAAGGGAGGGGGATTCATGTTCAGCTGTTGACTGCCATGTGTTATGCACATTTGTAATTCCACAGCCTGCCATGGTGCCTGGCAGCACCTGAATTCAGCAAGACTTTTTTTTTTTTTTTCTGTTCATTGCCTTTCTGCCGTCACCTGGCTCCTTCTCAAAAAAACCCACAAAACCAAGCTGTAGTATGTTTGCTTTATCATATTGGCACTGCTGTGTTTTTTGCATAAACTGTCAATTTAATTTGACATTTTAGTGGATATCAAGGCCTACAGATAATTCCAATGTCTCATTTTGTGGTTTTCTTTACAAAAAAATTGAAGCCTTTAGTTCTGTGCCATTTTGTAAAGGCTCTTGAATGTGATTTTACAGCTGTTAATACATCATAGAATACTTGGACTGAGATTTACCAACATTTTAAATTTTAATTTTAGAAAACACATTTTTGACTGAGTTATCTTTGGGCCTTTGTAAAAGCTGTGTTTTTTTCTTTGGTACATTGTTACCTCATTTTGCTACTTGTGTTTCAGATTTGCTAATGATTGTGAAAGCTTCTGAGTTTTATTGGAATCGTATTTTGTCAAATGTTTTCTTTAAATCATACACTATTGTATCATTTAACATGTAGTTTTAAATGTATTATAAATATCTGTAACTAAATCATTTGAAGGCCTGATAAATTTTTAACAAAATTTGTACATTTTTTATGAGAGTTACTAGTAATGCTTTACTAGGTAGTGCAATGAATTTTTATTTTTAATCCCTGTGCCCAATTTTGGAGTTGAGAGAGTTGTTCAGTAATAAATGTATGACGTACACTTAACACAATTTTGTCCTGTTCTTTCTCTTAGAAAGAGGTGCATTGTTTTCTTTCATTACTCTGCATATTTCTGTGCACAATCATTCAACTCTAGATACCGGCAACAGACGCTTGTGTTGTACGGGAAACTTTTGTCACCATAATTGTAGTGCATGGCAGACTTTTTTTAATCTACTTTGAGAGATCATAAGAAAATTATATGAAATGTTGCATCATATTTTTGCAAGTGTAAAATACTTACACAGTATTTCCATATCATTATATTTTTTTCATATCATAAAAGTCAAAGCCTTGCCTAAAAGATCAGCTGTTACTTTCAAAGGAGAAGCCGCTGCCAAAGTATTCACACACCATTCAAGGAGTCACACACACACTACTGTTAGGACCACAGTCCCTTCGCAGTGGGCGACACCGGTGGGCCAGTGGGTGCCCCTTTCGACTATACACACATGCACACTTACTCTCAGGCATTCTCCCTCCTCCTTCAGGCTGAACCCTAGGTTTCCAACAGTAGAGCCTCAGGCATCAGATTTTATAAAAATAAGTAATCTGATTGAAAGGTACAGCAGCAGGGTCAGCCCAGGCTGGTTGCCTCCAAAAAGGGAGGGACCTTGAACAAAGAAAGCTCTGGGCAGTTATATCCTTGCAGTCTGTATACCTGCCTCTCACACACTGTTCAGTCATCTATTAGTCCAAGGGTGATTTTTGGTCTGGGATCTTCCAGCATCTTACTGTATTCTTTTTCTGTGTGCAGGCAGGCAGGCTGTTGACTGCTTTTGTTGATTTGCAGTCTGTGCCGACAATTGTAGCCTCCATATCTTCTGGTTTACTTTTGTTGTGAACCTGCGCTCGCTGGCAGAACATGGGGAGCTGAAAAGTCCCAGGCTTACAGAAAACACTACCAAAACATCAGTGTATTACCAACATTTTTCTTATACTAAAAGACTAAACACAGCACTGTACCAGCTACTAGGAAAATTACTAAGAAAATTAATGCTATTCCAGCCTAAAGGCTTCAGCAGACCTAGCTACTCATGTAAGTAAAGCTAAGCAAGCAGCATAAATCACACTATTGTGAGAAATGTGCTCACTGTATTCAATTTTAGTTAGGGACAAATTCTGTGGAGCAAAGAACATTTATTTACAGGACTGGGAGCTGCACAAGGGATTTCTCCTGTGGCTCAACTCTTTTCTTACATATGCTTGCTTTTATCTCCTATTATTCATGCATATTCACGGTTTTTCTCGTCAATGAGTTCTCGGAACATAACCCACACCCGAATATGCCTCCCGCCTCCTAGCGGCACAGGCGCAATCGCAATGCTTCCTCAGGGCTCTTCCTGGTGGTCGTCAGAGGAAGACTCAAAGTCTTCATCACCATGGTCATCTTGTGGCTTTTCCATTCTTTACATGATTGACAGCTCTGCGGTTATCTTAGCTATCATATCTTAGCACCATCCTTGCAACAGATTCGGTGCTTTCCACTGTTGCTTCTGTCTGATATTTTGTCTAACACTATCCGTTTTCCAACCTCATAGCAAGCACATACCTACTCTAGCCTAAGCTATAGCAAGCACATATCTATTTTAGCTGCAGCAAAATTTTCTTCCTAAATGACTTATTACACTATATTATAACTCGAAGTAATTTATACTAAAACTTATTCATTTAAGCTAAACAACTAATATCTCAACAATTACTTAGTCAAAAGAGCAAAATTTGTGGGCATAGAGGTGCTCCTTAGACATACTATTTGCAGTGTGTGTCAGTTTAAGATGTGTTAGGAGCCCTTTGCAGTGCCCTAACAGTGGTAAAAAAATGCATCCTAAGTTAAGGATGAAGCTGAATTACAAGGAGGTGGCACAAGAAGCTGGAGGTGAAACAAACAAAAAACCCCACAACAACAAAAAGAGTTGTTTGGGTTTGTTTTTAATGAGATGATGTAAACTAAGTTCCCAGATGTAATTATTTAAAAGCTTTTCACCAATGCAGACCATTTTATTGCTTCATCAATACCAGGTGTTCTTGGAACTCAAATATATTTCAAAATCCATTGGTGCTTTGAGAATCCTTCTGCGGAGATCCATATACATGTCTTTTGGATTTACAATCCTGGATAACAACTAGTTTTCCCTTTTCCATACAGCAGATAATAGTTATTAATTATGCTGTTGAAAATGGATAGTGCTGCCAGTAGTACTTGCAAAGCTAGGGTGCTGGGCTGCCCAGCCTCAGAGGTGACAGAGGAGCTTAGAAGTACTGGTAACTGGCTTAGAGCCTGTGCCAGCAAGGCCCTGAGAGCAGAGCAGGGCTTCCTGGTAAAGATCATAGAATATCTCACCCTTGGAAGGGACCTGTGTGGATCATCAAGTCCAACTCTCTGCTTCTTGCAGGATTGCCTAAAACTAAACCATGTGACTAACAGTGTCATCAAAATGTTCCTTGAACTCTGATAGGCTTCATGCCATGACCGCTTCCCTAGGGAGCCTGGTCCAGCAACCAGCCACCCTCTCAGTGAAGAATCATGCAATTGTCAGAGTTGGAAGGGACCTCTAGAGATCATCTGGTCCAATCTAGGCAGGATTGCCTAGAGCACATCACTCAGGACTGCATCCAGGCTGGTCTTGAAAATCTCCAGAGAAGGGGACTCCACAATCTCCCTGGGCAGCCTATCCCAGTGCTCTGTCACCCTCACTGTAATGAAGATTTTCTTCATATCTTTTCCTAATGTCCAATTTGAACTTCCCCTGATGCAGTTTTATTCTGTTTCCTGGTGTCCTCTGTCACTGGTCACCAGAGAGAGGAGATCAGCACTTCCCCTGCCCCGCCTTGAGGAAGTTGCAGCTTATTTGAGTATTGGGAGCCTGGGCCATCAGTCAGTCACTGGAGGAACTGCTCACTTCAAGAGCTGAGGTCAACAAGCGAAACAAGAAGGAACTACACTCAAAGGAATGGAAATAATTTTTCATGCAACAGACTAATAATGAATTGAAATACATAGCATAATGTTTGTATGATTTACCATCTTTTAAAAAAAAGACCACTAACAGCTGTGATCGTTCTGCATAATAATCAGAATGTGGGGTTTTTTTAATTCATATAATAATCACAATAATTGAAAGAGGTAATTATGCATACTTGTGCTGCTAGAACAGGTGCTTTGCAGTATCTGAAGTATTAGTTCTCTTACAACTTGCTCTTGTTCTGCAAGTTACTGACCTGCTGTTGATCACAGGCCATATCCCTTCTCTGCATGGAGGGTTATTACTACTCTTGTGCAACATATGCTTCCTTTCTACCTAAATCTAGTCCAATATGGAGAGCCAGAGGTGCTTTGGTATGATTTCATGATGTGAACCAGTTGCCTGGACTAAGGACATTTAGCCATGTTGTTTTCCTTTCAAAGAGCAAGGCCAAATTTTAAAACAATACTTGCTGCAAACTGCCTTTCATCTTCCTCTGTAGAGCACGGCATCCGCAGATTTGAGGAAACAGCAGGGAAAGGAGGTTGCAGAGCATGAGAGGAAATGATGCTCTTCGTTTTTAACACTTCAGCATGGAGAGTGATCAGTTAGTAGCAAAAGGAGGTAAATGCAGTTGAGAACTACAAATGAAACAAAGATGTTAACTTTGGTCATGGGTGATTGCACACACAAACAATTCTATCACCAGACCGTCTGTGCTAGTAATGGGGTGTCACATTCAACAAATGAATGGTGTTAGCATAATACATAGGGAAATTCTGCAATGCACAGTCATTAACTGTACGCAAAAGGACAGGAAATCATATAACTTTTGTAGAGTTTGACATTTACTGTCCAGTATCAATACTATATGCTGAGAAAGTCACAGAGAACGCAACACAAGTATTCATTACAGTAATGTTTTTGTCAGCCATCCAGTTTTGCATACCATAATTTTTGTATAATGTCCTCAACAAGTAAAGTTTCATCAATTTATTAATAGAAGAAGAATAAAACAAATAGAGAATTGTTGCATGACTTGAATTTATCCCAAGGCACTGGGGAAAGGGGAAGACCCAGAAGCACAAGCTTTCATGTTAACCAGAGGTCACTGTGAAAAGGTTAGCGGCTGAATTCATCCTAAGGTAGCAGGTAGAAGGGGTGTTTTGCAAGAGCTCCATGCCTGAAGTGAAAGGTATAATCTACCCTAATCTCTTAAGAAAAGAACTGATGATCTGCTTTTGTAAATTTCAGGATGTCAGAAATTTGGCACACAGATTGGAAACAGGATTTGCTCATGCTGATTAAGGAGCATATTCCTTGGGAATCCGTGTGTACCAAACATCCCTGGACTGCCTTGCCTTGCTGGGGATCGCCTCAGAAGTGAAATTTTGTAGTTGATCTCTCTAAAGTGAGCCCATAATTTTGCTTCTGATGGAGTTTGCAGGAACTGATGCCAGGGGGAGTGGCAGCATCAAGTGTCTTAGACCACAATGTCCCTGAGCTTCAGAAACTGCTGGATGTGTTGCTGATACATGGCAGCTTGGTTGCTGGAATTTCTACCCTCAGTTCATGGACTATTAGATGGCTCTGTAGGAGAGGGGAAGTCGAAAGATACACTTCCATTTTGATCTTAATTTAGGACTTGGAGGAGAAAAAGAGCCAAAAGATGGCTGAGAAGACTGCACACAGACACACCAAGCCTCTGCTCTGTCCACTGGATAAGGCAAAATGTCTCAACTGGTGGAAGGCTTCTAGCTGTCCTAGGAACTGCATTAGCTAGACAGCAGCAATTCAGCAGCTAATGCTTTCTAGGGAGATGGAGGGGGCATTCCCTCCACCACACTGTGCTTCTGGCTGTGTCTGTCAGCTACAGTTTCATATAGTTTCAACAGCAAAGTGAGTTCTACGTGCTCCCATTGCTTCTCCTGCCCTTTGTCTTCCCCCAACATGGTGTGCTGCCCACTCAGTAGTGGCAGGAGTCACAGTTCCTGCCAAGCTGAACCCATTTCATGGCAGTTTTGGCAATGAGAGCACAGA